GCAGTGGCATGATCTCGGCTCACTGTAACCTCCACCTCCTGGGTTCAAGTGATTCTCCCTCAGCCTCCCAAGTAGCTGGGACCACAGTCACCCGCCACCATGCCTGGCTAATTTTTTGTATTTTAGTAGAGATGGACTTTCACTGTGTTGTGCAGGCTGGTCGTGAACTCCTGAGCTCAGGCAGTCCGCCTGCCTTGGCCTCCCAAAGTGCTGGGATTACGGGCGTGAGCCACTGCACCCGACTGGGTATATATATCTTAGATCTGGATCTGTATTGCCAAGTCAGCCTCCAAAGCCCATTCAGTATTAACTGTCAACGTTCAGTAGTCACATTGCTCACCACACTCAGTTGATGTCCTTCCTTCCCCGTTCCTGAGTTCTGACTCCAATGTGTTTCTCAGCTTGAAGACCCTGAAAACACTCTGTAATGATACGTTTTCATGTCCCCAGGTGGAGGGAAGCTGTCGCAGCCCGCAAGAAACTGAGGCGCCAGATGCGGGCTTTCCCTGCTGCGCCCTGCTGCGTGGACGTGAGCGACCGGCTGAGGGCGCTGGCACCCAGTGCAGAGTGCCCCATTGCTGAGGAGAACCTGGCCAGGGGCCTCCTGGACCTGGGCCACGCAGGGAGATTGGGCATCTCCTGCACCAGGTCAGCATCAACTGCCGCCTGCCTCGTCAGGGCTCCCCTGCCCCGACCTGGTTTTACCAGGAGCTGAATTAATGTGTGTGTTTGGAGGGTGAAGATAGGTGAAGCCTGGAGGCAAGGACAGGCACAGGGTTGCATTTTGAAGGTCGTCTCCCACAGTTGTGGACGTGTGACTTGTTCCACTGGAAAGCAGAGCTCTGAGTTCAGCTTGAAAGACTCAACTCAGCATCCTGGTGACTGAGTCTGACTCTGCATCACCTGTTCTTTTCCTGCTCGTCCCAGTTTAAGTACCTGCCACTTCCATCCTTGTTGGAGGAGCCCGAGGTCCACGCTGGCCTGTGTCTTCCCCCTCCCATCCCTGCCCCATCCCTCTGTTCCTCCCGCCATCTCTTTCACACGCTGCCCTCTTTCTGTGGCAGCATCTTCCAGACTCCACCTCCACCCTCCAGTATTTCCCTCTTGAGGCCCCTTGGTGTGGCCCTGGTCCTCCCTGCCACTCCTCCTGGTCATCCCGAGCAGAACCAGCTCCTCAGGGCCATGCCAGGACCCCCCTCAGCCTGCATTCCTGGCCATGCTGGGCATGGCCTTTATTTAGAACCCGTGTAGGTGCCCCCTCTTGCCTGGCCTCAGGGCTCCCCGGCCTCCTAGTGAGTGGTGGGTGGGGACTGGGGAGGCAGCCTGGACGGCCTAGCAGGCACACCGTTGGGGCCTCATGTCATGTCTCGTCACCCTGCTGGTCATCACGGGATGTTCCCTCTGAAAACTGTCTTGTAGGTTTCATTTGGCCCCATCAGGTTCCGCGCAGGCAGGGTGGGTGGGTGGCAGTCCCAGCCTGTTGCAGGCATGCTGTGAGGCCAGGGCTGGGGCTGCCTCCTCTCACCCACAGCTGCCTTCACATAGTGGCCTGGCCTCCTCCTGGAGTCATGGTTTCTTGTGTCCCCCCTCCGTAGCTGCTCTTGTCAGCCTCAGTCTCCTTTTCTGAGCCCTCCACTCTGCCCCCTCAGCCCAGACCTCTGCCCTCTGCCCTTCCCTTCTGCACACCCCCTGGTGATAGCCCTGTCACCCCTGTCTGTCACTGGCAGCCCCCATTATGCATCTCCAACTGAGGCCTCTTCCCTGTGTTCCAGACTTGGTTTCCAGTTCACGGTTCAACCTCTGAACCTGATTTTCCCCCACCCTGCCCCTTCCTGCTCATAGGATGCCATCCTGTCCTCCTATGCTTAGGGCACAAACCTGGGCTTGCATCTCTCAGACCCAGCATCCTCAGCTCTGCCCTCAGAACTCACCGAGGGCATGGCAGTTCTCCCCACCTCGCTGGAATGTTGACGCAGCATCTGTCCGTCTGCTAGCTTCCACCATGGGCCCCGCTCGCATCCTCAGCACCAGAACAGAGGGATCCTCCGACAGCTCAGCCAGGCGGCGTTGCCTCTCGGTGGCATTGCCTCTTAGCGGCGTCCCTAGCGCTCCCTGAGTCTCTGTACTGTGGACCCAACCCCTCCCCCGCTGCCCTCATTGCTCTCCCCAAATATGCCAGGTCCAGCTATGGCCTGGCAGAGCCATGCCCTCTGCTGTTTCCAGAAGTTGTCACGCTGGCTCTCCCTGTTTCCTTCAGGTCTTTGCTCACATACCACCTGACCACCCTGAGTGAGACTGCAATAAGCACCCAGCTCCAGCCCCACCTGGCAGCATTTGCCCACAGTGCTGACACCTCGCACATGCCAGGCTAGCCACTTAGAGATGCTGTTCTCTCCCCATGAGAGCCTATGTTCTTGAACGGCAGGATTTTGTCTTATTGTTGAATCTCCCACAGCCAGCACACAGCAGATACTTAATGTGATACTTGTGGAATGAACGAATCCTCTAACCCGTTTCTTCGGCAGAAAATGTGTTTTTCAGTCTCCTGAGTATTCCCCAGGGGACACTAGCCAGTACTTTTCACTAAGCTCCTGTGGTAACACTGTCATTCTGCTTTCCTTTGCAGGTTGAGGCAGCTCAGAAACAAGACGGCTCACCAGATGAAGGTTCAGCACTTCTACCAGCAGCTGCTGAGGTCTGTCATGCCGCACCCTTCTGCGTGTCCCCTGGTGATCCCCCCGTTCCCCAATCTGTCACACTAGCAGCCCACCTCATGCATCTCCAACTGAGGTCTCTTCAGTGAGTTCCAGACTTGGTTTCTAGTTTGCAGTTCAACCTCTGATCCTGATTTTCCTCCAGCCTGCCCCTTCCTGCTCATAGGATGTGTGTGCTGCTCCTGCGAGGGCCTCA